CCCCCCCCCCCCTCTAAAATCAATTCTCTCCTGGAGAACGTCTTCGTGAGCCTCTCATGATTTCAGGATAGTTGAAACCCTCTTGAACATTTAGAAAGAGTGAATATGAAATTCTAATCACGAAAGGTGTTCCCCGAGGGGATACATACCTAGAGTTTGTTTTGTGAAGCACGTTAATTCTCTCCTGGGGAGTGTCTTCGTGAGCCTCTTATGGTTTCAGGATAGTTCAAATCCTATGATGTTCCGATTCAATGCTCACCGATGATCTGAGCCATGGGGCAAGTTTGTTTCCTAAGAACCTTTTTGAACATTTCGAGAGCATATGTTTGAACATTTAGAGTGCATATGAACATATATTTACGAAATGTCGCCTCCGAGGGGATAAATCACCATGTCAAACATTGCATTTTTGTTCCTGCCTCTCGCGTTCTTTTCTCTTCCCGCTGTCCTACCTTTCGTGTCTCCCTCCTCTCAAGTTATGTTGAATGTTTTAGATTATGTTGGTTATATATTTGTTTGTGCAGTGTGCATGTCGCACTGTTTTTTTGACTTTGCCTTTCCCTTCTCAAGCCCAGGAGATATCCCTCCAATACAGCTATGAAGAGCTGTCAGCGGCAACGAAGCTTGGCTTGCTTTGTCACACTGATGCTCATAACCCTTTTTCAAACCTCCCACAACATGCACCGAGGAAAAATTGGCACAACTCTGAGCGCTTGGGCTCTGGCTCCTATGGCTCTGTGTTCAAGGCAAATACGTAGCTCAAGAAAGACCTTGCAGTGCAAGGTAGGAAGACATTGCCTGACTACCTTGTTCTGATTGGTTTTCAGGGAGAGTTGGAGGATGGCTCAGAAGTGGCGATCAAGGTGCGAACACATTCAGTTCAGACTCAGACCGGGGTGTTTCACTCGCAGCCTTTGCTTGGTATTTTTCTTGTCCAGCTTCACGGAGATTATATACGTATGTGTTTGGTGATTTTGCATGACATGAAGGCAATTGACTTGAAAGCTCTGGGAGCCGAGTCTTCGGGATTTGAAGAGGAGGTGTGGCTGCATTCCTGCAATAGTGGGTAGTTGCAAAAAAGTAGCGTATAGACTTGAAAGAAACGGCCTGAATTGTTCAAAGAAGGCGTTGCTCCTGTGATCTCCTGTGGCTTCGAATTCCTGTTGGCCCAGAATATATAGGACTAAGATCAAATTAAGACGTGTTGAGGCTCACTACCAGTAGCATTGGCTCGAAAGGGCCGCTTGAAAGGTGCAGATGCTCAGCAAATTCCGTCATCCCAACTTGGCCTTTGACTCAGCTTTGCGGCAAGACCTGCAATATTGTGCCAGATGGCGCACCAGAAAGCACGATTCAATTTAAAGCTCCTGGCGAAACAGCGGAGGTGACCCTGCTTGGCTGGGCCAAGCACGACTTGAATCGCTACTTAGTGTACGAACTCCTCTCGGGCGGCGATTGTTTTCAGCGCCTTCAGAAGAGTGCCATGGTTGCATTGCTGCACAAGTGCTCTAAAAGGACTTGATATCCTTTTCTTCCCAAGCTAAGTTGGGACTGCCAACCCGAAGGAGTCTGAAGTGTCTGAGTGGGACTCCCGGACTGCCCTGGTGTTTGCAACCGTGTGGTTTGTGCACGTATGGACACGATTCAAGCAATCAAGATGATTTTGGCTTTCGTGTTGGAAACTGATACATGCTATTCAGTGCTTTCTTGGGAATCATGACGCCAGCCGCAAGACAAAGCTACTAAGTCTTACTAAGTCACAAAAATGGTTGCCTGTTTTTATGACGTCCCCTTCATTCGCCTAATACGTTTTGGAATCCCAATTTCAGTGGGCCACGCCTGATCCTAGAGTAGGTGGGGTCTACTGACCTCGCCCGCTTTAATGTTGACGACGTTCAAGAACTTGAGAGCCAACAAGGTCATTTAGAGGGACTGGTAGTAGACCCTGGCTGTTTTAGTGGGAGTATGTGGAATCCAAAGGTAGGGATATGTAGGCATAGGCATATTAGGCATGCTGGCTTCTTGGTTCTGAAGCGGCCGTATCAATACGGGCTTTAAAGTGAGCTTAAATCAGGAGCAGGTATCGTAGCGTGACTTTACTATTTTGGCCATTATGTTGCAATCGCGGCTTGTGTTTGGAAGTGATCAGCGTGGTCGTTCTTATCAATGCTGTGGTCAGCCCAGCATTGTTTTCGACATCCTGAAAAGAAGACGTTGCTGCTTGTCTATCACAACCTGTCCATAATATATATATATATATATGATTATATATGTTGTATGTATATATATATATACACTTACGTATACACACTCTTCTTTACGGCCTATCCAAGGTAAGAAACCGTCTGCTGGATGTCCCTTTCACTGGCCCAGGGCCTAATCTGCTCAAAGCGAGGCATTGACTTAAGTGGAACCTACCAACTCAACTGCTGAGGTTTGAGCGCTTGAGCGTTTGCCTGGATGCTGCGGCAGGCGGGCACTTTGCTTGATCTGATCGCAGGCTCAGACTAGGGAGGCAGATGCAGCAGGCTGCAACAAGATTGACACCGATTGCCATTTGGAAAGGCCTCTCGCACATGCACAACTCCAAGCCGAAAGCCTTCCACCGTGACATCAAATCTGCGAACATATTGCTGGACAGGTTTGTGAGCCGTACCTTTGGTTTTGCTGCATGGTTTGGAGCTGGATTTGGGGAGAGGGACATGTCATAAAGTGGTGCAAATGCGTATTGAAGACCTGTTTTGGGTCGAGGATCGGCATGGCACGGCCAAGATGGCAGATTTTGGCCTGAGTTGTGCTGCAGGGAAGCTAGACTCGTTGAGACCTCAGCAATCCATGCTTCCATTCACAGAAGATGTGGCCTATGACCGAGGCTCCATGTGACTGTCCGCACAATTAGTGGGACTCCAGGCCATTTGGACCTTGGAATGAGATGGAATAATGAAGATCAATGAAGGCTGCTAGTAGCACTGCATTCACTGAAGGGTACCAATATTGTACTGGTCATATACAGCACACGACTTGTGATCGCCCGACTTTGACATACTTTGACTCAAGTGAACAAAAGGGTGGCCCCTGAACTTGGCAGAAGAAATCGGCGAAGAAGGAGAAGTGTTGATGAACAACATGGAGACGGACGCGAAGATAGGATGATCCAGATTTGCCCAAGTGCTTGAGAAGACTGAATCCGATCATGAGGGCACATGTACAACCTGCAATATTTACAGACCACAGTTCCATGGCCAACGGCATCATGAACATGAAGGTGCCTTCTTCAACATCGTCCACAAGAGGCTTTACGAAAACAATGCGGCCAAGCGCAAGGAGAACCTCATGTCACATGGATGGTGCGATGTGATGTCCGGATTCGTCAAAAGGAGTTCCCAGGACAGCGACTATAAAGATAGTACGAAGGAGGAAGCGACCAAGAAAGGAAAACTGGTCGAAGAAACCTGGCTCAAGCTCAGGGGGGAACAGTTGTGAATGCTTTGACCACGCGAGTCTGCGCAATCAATTGGGACTGAGCCTCGTTTGGCCGTGACTTCAAAAGACTCCACAAGAGATACGCTGACAAAGAAATATCAGACGAGGACTAATGAGATCAGAGGGGACGTAGTGCGGAAGGCCATCCGAACAGCATTCGGTTGTGACACCGAACCCTACTTCTCAAGCGCATTACCCCGTACACATGCAAGATTGGAACAAATCAGCCAGCTTGATGTTGAAGCAGGGTTGAGTGAAACTCACCTCAGAACGCTCCAAGACATATTGGAAAAGATGTCCGGGAATGAAGACATGAAAAACATCGAACCTTGGATGAAATCATTAACTGCAGCACAATCTCAGCATGCTCTGACACACGGAGCCTTCGGGAAAAGCCGCATGGGAAAAGGATGCAAGAGAGAAGGATACATCCAAGAAGAGACCATCTGCCAGACAACCACCAGTGCCTCCACCAAGTCAACAACGACAGAGAAGGAAAGGATTTGCATCAGTTTCAGCAAGCTCATCTCGCTGGCATGACACAGGTTACCGTGGAAAAGGCGTGGACCAACGAGATGAGGATGGTGATGATCGCCGGACAGCATGGTGGAGTGGTTATTGAGGCTGTGGTCAACGCCAAGATTGATCAAACAAATCAACGTGGAGTGGCTGATGCTGGATCGCCCCCACATGGCACACCGAGATCGCTGAGTGCTGAGGAGTCGATGCGCCCCTGAGTGAGGCCGTGTGTGATGGCTGAGTTAATAGTCATGCGCTATTGCAGCAAGAGGGCGGCGTGCAGACCAACCACGGACCAACCAGAAGCAAAGACCGCTTTTAAGCCGAATAGTGTTTGTAGTTAGCCGATCAGGAGTCTGCACCTTGTGTGACTCGTATGAGGTGGCTTGCGGCAACAGCAGAGTGCACACGTGCTCCCCAAATTTGACAATGTCCATCACCCGAAAAAACTGGACATGGGGGGTGGCGAGTAGCACTGCCTTCACATAGGGATGCCAATATTGTGCTGATCACGTATTGCGCACGACTTGTGGCCGCCCGACCGCCCGTTGCACAGAAGGGTGAGCACTGTTTATGATCGTATATGATCGCTTAGTCGCTTTTTGCCGAGATTCTGGTTCAAGAGTCGAATTTTTCGAGTTTTGTTGCTTCGCTTGGGAGGCTACGCCTGTCCAATCTATTCTCGCACGGGACGAGTGACGGAAGGCGGTGAGGCTTGGGAGCTCATGTCCGGTGGGCCCGAACAAAAGCACTGTTGGCAGTAGTGGCTTAGGGTGCACTATATACAATACCACAGCACCACCAATTAGCAGTAACTAGTCGTCATCTTCGTAGCTGGAATCGGATAAAAGTAGCACCTGCGGCAGCAGCAACGTTCTTGTAATGACAGTTGAGCCATGTCATGTTAAACAACCCAAGTTTGTAGAAGCGTTCTTGTTGAGGTATACTCCTTTGGCATGGTGATGTTTGAGCTTTTGACTGGCCTGGCTCCAGCCACAGCTGATGCCAGCAGGAGGGGAGGTTTAGATTTGCACTTGACAGAATCAATTCTGGGTGTTGGCTCACCTTCCAGGCAGTCCATAATTCTGTTCATTTTGATGGGTCAAGCAAGGTCTCCTGGTTTTGACATGTTTTGACAAATCGCCTTCTGACTCTCGGCTGCATAGCAGACTGCGAGGAAAGGTGGAATTGCCTATCAAGTGGCTGAAGCAGTGGAGCATCTCGCACCATCAAGTCAGGGTCAGTTGTGCATCCACTTTGTCTAGCAATGCTACTGCGGGACGCACGTGAGCAAGATGTGTGGCCATTGTTCAAAACCAATCTGGAATCACCAGGCAAGACAGCCCTGGCGCGCTTGAACGCTGCATGACCCACCTTGACTGCCACGTGCCTTGGACCACACTTGAGGCCCCCAGAAATTATAGATGATTGCATGCTGCACATTCTGAAAGGCTGGATGGCCCACGCAATTAGCTCGGGAAATGGCTGAAATGGCTTTACGGGCTGTACAGCCGAATGATGAAGCTGCTTGGCGCTGTTTTGCTATCACGGCATTTTGGAAAAAATAGGTGTGCACAGTTTCCAGTCAACTAAGGAGCGCCCTCGCTTTGTGGAGCTGGTTAAGGCTTTGCGAAAGCACAACGAGCGATTCCCAAAGCCTTCCCAGAGACTTGACGACGTGATTATGAGTGTCCCAGTGAGTGTCCCCAATCGACTCTGGAAGAACACACCATGCAGAAGCAACATTCGGAAATTTTTGGGAACCAAGGCCATCAACTTTCAATGCTGGGGGAGTACCTCAATTGCCTCAACATTTGATTTCTCCAGAGCAGATTCAACCGGCCCAGCAGCCTGCAGCCAATGAACAGCACACGCCGCAAGCTCATCCAGCAAAGAAGGTCGTGCAGCCAGAGGACTTAAATGGAAGACCGCCGCAAGTAAAGGTTCCAAGCCCAATGCTTCTTCCACCTGCCAACAGTGCCCTGGCAACCTTTGGATTGGAGTATGTTTCAGCCTCCGGCACGGAACCCGATGGAATCCCACAAGGATTCCATTGCGTCTATTTGAAGCCCAGTCCTGATTCTCAATGCTCGTCGGACATGTCGACATTTGCGATTGGACGAAGCCATCAGCAGAAAGCTTTTGAAGTTTGGGTTCCTGACACCGCGCTGCAATGCTGCATCTCCCGCACAGCCTTCGAAATTCTTTGCGGTGCAAAGGGGGGAAAATGCATTTCTGACAGTTCGAGGCCAAGGAACTATTTCCGTTGATGGGAAGGTGGCGCCTCGCGAAATTGCAGTCCCCTTGCAAGTTCGCTCAGAAATTACATTTTCACATGCAGCAGAAGGGACCATAATACTGCGCTTGCGTTACCTGCCGGCCTCTGAGTTCACTCCCAAAGTGGAAGGACCAACTTCTCCGCCTCCCAGACGGACAGTTCGAAGAGCAGATGAGATTGCATCAGACAGCGACGTGAGAAGTGTTTCTGCTAGACCACGAACAGCTTGGGTGCTTGCCTGTGTTCATGTCGAAGGATTGACGCCAGGGCAGATTGCAGAACTTCGGAGCGCTGTTAGGGACATTCAGGCAGAGTGGACACTGTAGAAGATATCTAAACAGTAGAGGTGTCAGGAAGGAAAGAACATTTGGGAACATATAATAGTCTCGAAGACATATTACCGCTCTTAAAAGAGACGAAGGAGTGCAATTTAGATAAGATCCGACGACTTTCTTCTACATGCAAGAGCCCTTTAAAGGAGGAGACCAAGAGTTACCTTTGCCTTCAAGTGTCCCGAAAATTGAATTAAACTTCTTGTTACTACTAGTAAGGCACCTGGTACTACTAGTAAGGCACTTGTTCCTAGTAGCTATGCACATGAATAGTGTGAACACTTCTTCAAGGAAACGTGAGCTATCCGTCCTGTTCCTAGGAGCTTCCTATTGCTAGCGTGGGCTCTACTCCCTTGCCTTATATAATTGAGTATAGAGTGGGCTAACCAAAGGAAGGATAATACCTTTCAAAGATGCAGGTGCGGGAAAGGATGTGCATTTGTGCAGAGAGCCTCATATATAGCTCATGCTTATGCTCCTAGGAATCTATTGTACGGGAGGATTTCTATTTTATGGAGAGAACTTTTATGAATGACAGACCATTTTTCAACAGATACGCTGTTTACCATGGAGCCACTTTTACAAGAAAGAAGGGCTTGCAAGGTGATACCTTTTGAAAAGGAGGCCGTAGACTTAGACTTATTTCAACAACGGATGCTGCAGGATGCCTCGTAAAAGAGGAGGTGGTCAAAGTTATTGCTTAATCAGATGCTCTTGAAATAGTAAATGTATGTGTATGTTGGAAGAAGGAGTGCTTGTGTGATAAAGTATGGTGGACGTTGATCAGCGAAAACCAACAAGGAGGAAGGCTTTGATAAAGGAAACGTTTGCACAAAAGAGACATGACGCGCCAAGTTTGCGTAGATGGAACACTCCATACAGGACGATGTATTTATGACATCCTCCGTGCATTGTTGATTGCATCTATGTGGGCTGCTTGATCATTAAAATTGTCAAACTATTGTGCTAAAGGCCTTATATATAGTATATACTGTACATCACCATGTATTGTTGCAAGGTGTGTGCAAGGTCCAAGAAAGTGCTTTATAGCGCAGGAGAGGCCTTCTTAAATGAAGACAATGAAAGGAGGAGACCCACCACAGGAGCATACATCCCAAGAAAAGATGAGGGAAAGGAATATCAATACAAAAAGGGGACAAACAACAACAATACACGTTCTTTGGAGAAAACTTTTCCCGCCTCCCCAAACTGTCCCTTACAAGTCTTTGGTGTTTTGTGTGCATGTGCATGCTTAAGCTTAACGGTATCCATAAACCTTTGATGATTGCGGTAATGCTTTTTAAAAATATGGTGGGCCAGAGCAATCGGACCCGGAGGTAGTCTAAATTAGATACCTGTTCCCAAATTATATACCTGTTCCCACCGTGTATTTAAAGGGTCTGGCCGAGCCCCGTATATTTAAAATGTAGACGGACCCATGTTGACATTTCTTCTACAAAAAGGAAGAGCTTGAGGCCCTTACAGAGGGGCCATGTTGTAGTGGGGCAGTTTTTGGTACCTGCAGAACCCGATTTTTGTAGAGAAAAAACTTTGCTTTCTGCCCAGCACCTAGGTCGATCTAGCTTTTCAAACCCTCTCACAGGAAGTAGAACTCATCAAGGACTCTTACTACTTTCAGGGCTGCAGGCTGTATGGGGAGGTGCCACACCGCCAAATCAAAGCCACCAGGGACCAAGACCGGACCACCAAGACCAAGGCCACCGGGACCCCCAAGACAACCAAGAGCACCACCAAGGCCACCAAAAGCACCTCCAACACCCCACATAATAGATAGTATATTTGAGCTCAGTACCAAATAAATTCCGCCGCAAATATGTATTAAGCTGACCGTATATTTAAATCGTATATTAATTCCGTGTGTTAAAAAACCAGCCGGGCTGGCAATATCCTTGCCGGAGGTCGTCTAAAATACCTGTTCACTTGTTTTAGACAATCGTATATTTAAACAGCGATACCGTATGTTTTTAACTTATATACAAAAATTGGATTGCCCTCCCCCTCCATGTTTGGCATTGCATTCCTCTCCCCCTTCCCTCAAACCTTTGCTCCTTTCTCAACCTTTGGTCTTGTGGAGTCTAAGATGGCGAGACAGAAGCACAGGTGCAGGAAAGACACACTCACAGTGTTGGTTTCTTGATAGGTGTGTGTTATATATATATATATAGATAGTTGTTACGACCTTTCAAAAGTGCGCTGTCAAGCCTCGGTTCACCAGCCGGGTTCGAAATCCCCGAAACTCCTTCAGCAAAGCCCTGCAGGTGTCTCAATTTCCGATGATGTTGGGACGTTTGCATCAAATTCAGCTGGAGGCTTTGGTGAAAGCAGCCGACAAACCCAAACTGGCTACCTTCATCTCCCGAACTCACGGGAAGCTCGAAGTTGATCCTGATGGTGTCCTTCGCTTGTCCAACGTGAGCCCAAGCTCCAACCCGATGCTAGGCTAAATCCCGCGGTGAGTCATAAACCAAGGCGATGCTAGACTCGCGAGACACTCCCAACTCCAAAGACTCCAAACAAATCCAGAGACTCTAGACTGTTGTGCTTTGTGGTCTTTGGGTCAAGAGGTTATTGTGCTCCCCAGGCTCTATGTCGGAGATGATCAAGTTCTGCCTGGCCAGAGCCAAAGGTTAGAGAACGGCCAGGAGTTGGGCTTTGCTCGGGACGAATCTGGAGTCCACGTGCACTTCTTGAAGTTCAAGGCATGGACGCCATAACTCTTACAAGATCTTACCCGTGCACTTCTTGGAGTTTGGTGTGCTTGAGCCTTGAAAGCCATAGGTGGTGCAGGTCGACCATATTGACAGCCCCAGGGCTGCAGTGGCGGGCATGTAGGGCCGGTGATGCTTTGGAAAGACATGGAACATTGGAACATCATTGAGGTCACTCAAGGCTTAAGTCCAACAGCTTGAAGTTATAACACTGCAGGATAGTTTTTTTCTAGTATATAAAATGTATAGACGATATACATATATATATATATACATAAATAAATATACATAAACAAAAATACACATATATGCAGGCTCAGGTGCAGTTGAAGGTGTCACTGATTATCTGATCCCTAGGATTTGCTTCTCCTCCTGGTCGGCACTTGGAGGCGGCTTTGAAGTACCACAATCACTGGTAATTACAGTGGTGTTTTCGAGTGTTTGCAGCGTTTAACTTGGGAACCGGGATTTTTCCTGGGACTATTGCGCGACCACCCTTGTGGCGTAGCATTTCCCGTTTTTCTACTATGCCTGACTGAAGTTGCATTCACTGTGAGGCTGGTCCAAGACGAGGAAGCGGTGAGATCCACTTATCGCCCCCACGTGATGCCAATCCGTCACGTTTTGCTGGCATCGGCCATTTGCCGCATTGGCCAGTTCTATGAATAGAGATGCCGCCCCTAGTAGCGTCCTTGCTCCTAGTTCCGCACCGTAGGAGTGAGTCCACGAGGATGAACATGACATGTGGCACAGCCAGGCTAGATCCCAGCGCCCAACTCAAGCAGAGAACTCCGATGCGCAGGAATCCTTGGGAAGCTTTAGCATTTACCAGCCGTGGGACAGGCTATGATTCCTCTTGCTATATATGATTCAGTTTCTTATGGATTCTTGACCATTCATCTCCAAATTGCAAACTTACTGATCAGTAGCCCCTCCACGGAGATCCGGACATATCCATCAGGGCAACGCTTTCTTGCATAATTGTTTAATTGGCCATCGCTACTAGGATTGAGGTCATCGTCATTAGGTTGGAGGCCATCGCTAGTAGGTTGGAGGCCATCGCTAGTAGGTTGTAGTAGGTTGGAGCCCACCGCTATTAGGTTGGAGGTCATCGCCACTAGGTTGGAGCCCATCGCTAATAGGTTGGATCGCTAGTAGGTTGGAGGCCATCGCTAGTAGGTTGGAGGCCATCGCCAGTAGGTTGGAGGTCATCGCCACTAGGTTGGAGCCCATCGCTAGCAGGTTGGAGCCCATCGCTGGCAGGTTGGAGCCCATCGCTAGCAGGTTGGAGGCCATCACTTCTAGGTTGGAGGCCATCGCTAGCAGGTTGGAGGCCATCACTTCTAGGTTGGAGGCCATTGCTAG